GGTTGATTCACCAGAAAAATTCATCTCCGTGGACGTATTTTGTTCACAGTTCGGATAGCACACGTAAACACTGGGTTTGGTATTTAAAGGAGATGGGAAGATGATTGTGTTAACTAACGTGATCGTCAGGGGAGACCCGATTGTAGTTGCGAATTAATAATAATAATAATAATAATAATAATGTCCTTTTACTTCCTCTTTTATTTATTGAATATACAAATGTACAGTCAACATTCAGGAAGGGGGGGCCACGGCCATACAAAGGCTGCCCGAGAAGATGGGCGTCAGTGGAGCGGTTCGAACCCGGGACTCCCAGATCACAAGTTGGTGACCTAACCATTTGACCACCTCCGCCCAATTGTTATGGGGAGCAAAGTGGAGGGGATTAAATAGACGGATTCCAAGCATCTCAACTGGGATCAAAATTTTAATACTAAGCCCTTTAGATTGGTAGTTATGATTTAAATAGATCAGACGGAATACCTCGGTTACATGTTTCACATGGTCTGATACTAGCCGGAGTAAAACAATCTAAATGTCAACGGTCCAAATCAGTTTGTGATTCAGCTGAGGTGATGAACTGGCGCTCGTGAACAGGTTCAGACAAACGTTTGCTCCGGAGACCAATATACTTAGCCCCCACAGGAACAGATTAATAAGCACATAGCGATTGAGGTTACCATGTAGCACAATTTATAGGTAAGTCTGAAACACGAGAGTGATCTGGAGATGAATACAACGCGAAGCTTTGCTACTAGAAAGGTTTATCCTAATAATTATCCTCACAATATAGCTTTATTGTAATAGTTGAAGTAGGCACAGATCACGAATGACGGATCAGGAATATAAAATCACGGACGCCACGAAAACACTGAATCACACTGGCGCTTGCACGCTGGTATCCCACGTAACCGAACCATAAGGAATAAGCCACAGAAGTAGCAATTCATTGATTGGAAAAAATCAAGGGGATTAAGTAGCATGTAAAAAAATTGTATTGGTTATCCAGATATCTGCCAATCGCGTACTCGTATTCTTAACGTCATACAGCTTCTGTCCGGAACCGCACGATTGGTTGACACAATCGGCCTATGGTTCGTTGTCCAGAAGTAGTAGTAGTAGTAGTAGTAGTAGTAGTAGTAGTAGTAGTAGTAGTAGA